TAACAAAATAATATGCTACTGTAAAATATATTTAGCCTACATTACCAAAACAGTCTTGTCACCTTGGTCTGTTTCCTTTTCCCTTTCCACAGAACAGATCTGACGCATAGAATCTTCCACAGTACTTATATCGTCTTGAGGCCTCAGAGCTGGTTTTGGCTCTGCTTCCACTTCCAGGTCACTGTTTTCTTCTTCTTTTACACGAACTGCTTGTAGGATGTCCTCGTCAGAAAGTCTAGATGTTGTAGCTACATTTTCATCAACTTCTTCAAAATCTGTTAGCTCTTCCGGTCGTAGGTGATAGTAAGTTCTAACTGTCTGGCCCAAACATCTACTGGCAGGTCATCGTCATCATCAGTCAATCCTTGATCTTCCAGCCATTCTGCGTGTTTTGAAGGAATGTTTTATTGTATTGCTCGTCAGCGCGTCCCAGGATTTACTAATCATTAATATATCGTGAAGAAGGTTGAATTAATAGAACATGAAAGATTGCCATTGTTCTCAACCAATTCCATCACAGTCTTCTTCTGTAATGGCTTTTCAAACTCTTGATGAAACGTTGGTCCATGGGCTGAAGGACACTCGTTGTTTGCTCGCCGAAAACAAAGTTCAATGTTTTGAAGGTCGCACAGTACAGGATGAGCTGGAAAATTGTCTCAAAGCAGAAGAATTATCTTCCCTTTAAGCTCGATATCCCACATTCTTATCGCTTCTTCAAAAATTTCCGGAGTCATCCAAGCACTCTTGTTTGCTGTATAGGTCACCTGGGTAGATTTTTTATGTTTTTAAAGCAACGTGGGTTTTTCGACTTCCCTATCATTAAAAATTTTCGCTTCACCAAACCTGTCATATTAGCGGCCACTAAAACTTTAATGCTTTCCTTAGAGAGCTTTCCACCAACACATTTTCCGATTTAAATTTTAAAGTTCTGTTTGGTGTCATTTTAAAAAACAATCCAGTCTTATCACCATTGAAAATTTCGTTCTGACGCATATCGTGTCTTCAGTCCAGGCCACACATTTTCTAGCCAATCATCCGTTACGTTTTTGTTAACTTTGCCTCTCCGCTGATTTGCCTGTAGTTAACTTGTGCCGCAGCTTCCACTTGCTCAGCCAACCCTCAGATGCCCTGAAATTCTAAATACCAAGCTCAGTTGCAAAAAACTCAGCTTTTGTCCTGACCACAGGCCCAGAAAATGGAATATGGTTCATACGCTGCTGCTGGAACCAATGAAGCATAGCGCGATCTAAATGTTCGTTCTGAGGTTTCCACAACTTCTTCCTGTTACCTTCTTCCATCTCAGCTTCAAGCCACTTTTTTCTGCCCTTCCATTTTGTAGCCACAGTTGACTGAAACACTCCGTACAGCGAACGACATCTGATTGTTTTTCACCATTCTCTATTGATTGAGTTATCGATAACTTTTCCTCCACCGAGAGCACTTTACGCTTTTTCGAAAACATGTTGACTGTGTCACAGTGAGACACAACTCAAATTGGAAATTTAAAGTCGCTAATAGACGACAACATCTGTGTGATAACAATTAAGCACGCCGCCCGAAAAATTAAAGAAAGTCACTTAACAGTCTGATAAGAATGAGTAGAATGGGTGGCCGCATTCCTTATTAACTGAACGGAATCAGAATATGTCTGAACTCTAAACGCAATAACACATTTGTAATCAACTATTGAACGGTGAAAAGTCATCGATATAAAGAAAGAACGATATCGGTATAGAGAAAGAATTAATTCATTGTCGTTATGACGAACCAACCAACATTTACTATTTTCATTGTTATAGAGGAATTATCGTTGCATAGGGAAACCATCCATATGTATCCATTCATCAGGAAAGAAATGATCATATATATTATTGACCATCATATTGACTAGTTCTGAAATTTGTTGTCTAAATGATTCATTTTTGGACAGTTTTTTTTTCCAGTATGTTTTAACCTTCATGAAGTTTATATTCTTACATGCTAGGATCCATTTAAGTTGTTTAAATTGTTAGTTAAGTTTGTGTATATCTTTATTTAGTTCGTTAAATTGTGATTTGAATGTATATGCATCATGGATTTGGATCTTCCAGACTAAAAAAGTATATTTAACAACAAAACATGAATATATTTTAATTGCAATTTGAGATCTCTTTTATCTTTGTAGTATATATGTTAATTTTGATAGTTAAGATTAAATCAGTGTACTAGAGCAGTCTGGCAAGTTTTCAGGCACATCCAGAGATCAGAATTCTAATCATGTGATTTTATGTAAAAATCATGTTATGTAAAATTACAACTCTTTTCGATGTAGTTTCCAATTATTCATGCTAACGATGTCCAAAAACTGGTAATCATCAGCATCATATGGTGTTAAGAGATTGGCATATAAAGCATTGGCATATATAGTAACATAGAACAAGCATACTGTCCGTGCATGTTGACTACTAGATCTCTTGGGCTTGTTAGTTCTGTTAATTCTGGCACACTGAATTGAGAAGTTAAAAAGGGGTATAAACCCGGTAGGGGAGGACTGGTAAGTTTGTGCCTCGGATTGTTTTGTCTATTCCATGAGGAAGGCACAACACAACCTTGTAGGGGAGGACTAGCGAAATGAAAAGTGCCTTAATATGAAGTTTTGGTAAATAATTAGGTTAGGGCAATGCACATAACCTAGCGTAACAGTATTGCCATATTTATTTGTATAATCTAAAGGTATGTTTAAAATTTTACGAAAAACTATTAATTTTTATATAATTTTAATGCTTTGTATTATAATATGTATCTTTTTTAAATGCAAATGTATGCAGTTTTTACGGTAATGTGTCTAAAAATCAAAGCACAAACACCAAACATAATAGATATATTATGTACTCTTGCCTGATTTTGAGAGTTAGATCTAATAGTAAGATATAATTGATGATATGGCAACACACATAATGAATAATACCAATATAATACACACTTCGATGCAATCTACAACTGCAAATCATCACCTAACTTCATATGTCTACTTTTCACCACCATTAAAGATGCTTAAAAGATACTGTCACAGCATTACTATTTGTAAGAGTGAGACAAATCAAACAACAAAAAAAAGATAGTCATCATTTCGCTCCACAGACTGCTCTATACTTACATCTATGATACAAATATGCATGAAATAATCAACAAATTAAGGATATGTGCTCTGGTTAGATCAGAAATGTATAAGTATATTTGAAGCAAAATTAAGATACAGTACAACTATTGAAATATGGTTTCCACTTTACCCTTGACACAAACACTAGCTTAAGCAATGGAGGGAATATGATTCTTCAGTTCCATTAAATATGAGGGCTTAGCCATCACTCAAAAGGGTCATGGTATCAGTGTTTTGGAATAAAAAAGAAATTTTGCTGATTGACTCCTTAGGTAAAAATGTAAATCCATAACTAGAGAATTTTACTGTCAATTGACAAAAACTGGAGATAAAAATGTCTTGCCAGCAAGGAGATTGATAGATATCTTTTAAGTGTTGGAACATTAAACCTATTTTCTCAATTGGAATAACTAGGACTTCCAATAATTCTGAAATAGAAGGCCTCATGATCTAAAAACTTCTTTAACCAATCAAGAAACCATTGCTGCTATATGTGAGTACTTTGCAACATTTCCAGAGCAAACATCTAAACATTATAAGACATTATCTTGAACAATAAAACTTGTTTCGAAGCAAATTGTCAATGAAAAAAGTCATAAAGTAGATAAGAATAATTTAAACAAGCTCTGGAAGTATTTCAATTCAGTTGTTTGATCCATTTGGCTTTGTTTAATGGATGCAGACTTTATTGAGTAAAATTGATGTCCATTTAGGCTTGTTCTATATATTATAATGTTTAAAAACTTACCCCTTTGCCTAGAGGTCCTCCAAAAATGGCTAAACAGTGTGTAAGAATGATAAAAGTGATGTTTAGATCCAGTGTCGCACTTGGAGGTACTCCCGGCAGATGGTAAGAGCCAAAGATAATCTTCATCCTGGAAATAAAAAACAAAATATTCATATTCGATATTTAAAATATGTGCTATTATAAGTTTATAAATAAACTAGTGAACAACACTACTCCTACTCCCTATTTCAAAAAGAATGTTTTGCACTGAATAAAAATCATTGCACAATCATTAGTAAGTGAAGCAGAATTCATTGATATAAATTTCATCTCCGTAAACATCTTTCCGGCTTATTACACTAGTACCAATTTTTTAACATAACTTTTTTAGCTGCAAAAAATGCAACATATTTTCTTTCATTCTCATGAACAAAAATTTAAGTAAAGTATGGATTGTTTCATTCATTTACTGTTTTTAAAACACTTATCTCTTCGTGAAACATCCAAGACTATGCAAACAGAAAAATATATAAACTAAAAGGGCAGAAGTCAATGAGGAATAGGTGGGTAAACCACAGATTTATCTTTAGGAAAAGAATTGAATACCTTGTTTTTAAATTGTGTTGCTTAGTACAATTTGTTAATATGTTTTATAAATATATGAAAATACTTCTATTTTCAGAATTGTTTTATAAAGCACATTTCCATTTTAGGAAAACGTGAATGGAAGAGTAGGTAGGGTAGATATTTCTAAAATTAAGAGAGAATCAGAATGATACTGGAATAATACTGTTGAAAAATACTTCAGGAAATACAGTGCAATAAATATAATATGATATACGTTGAATCCTTTATTATTTGCAGAATTTAATCTATATCCTAAGCATGATTTAAAAATCACTCACCCATGGTCTAGGCCGTTCCTGTTGCTGTCGATGTCGCCGGCTTCTTCTCATTTAATAGAATAGAAATTCTACTTTCTCCTGAATAAAATATATAGAGAGAGAGAAGATAAAAAATATGAACCTTCTGAAAGAATGACAACTGAAACCTGAAACTGAAATCTACTGAAGACTGAAATAAGTCACGTCATTTACGTTACAGAAGTAGAACTTAACCACACTTTCTGACAGTGACAGTAGTTACAGGAATGGCCCGGCTAGTTTGTATACAAATACATATGGCTTAGATTTAGAATTTGCCATCGTAAAGACATTTACAAAATGTCTTTCAAAAAAGGTGGGTTTTAATTTATTATTTACGTTACACTAAAGTCACTTTTTCTATTTTTAGGAGTCGATCCCAAAGTTTTCAGAGCTATTCAACATGTTAATGTTGAAGAGCTTGCCAAATGCAGTGAGCAAGAAATCCGACCAGTTTTACCATGTCTGGTTAGAATGGGTTTGATATCGCCCCTTGATACCTCCAAAAAGTGCATGAACATGAAAGTGACTATTTTAACAATAGTTTCTGGCATGGAATTGGTGAATTCTATTGTTGCTCTACTTTCAATTGATTTTCACAAATTAGAAATTGACGTAAAGAAAGAACAGCAACTTAGACAGAAGGGTATGTGTGTAATGGGTCTTTTTATTAATTTAATTTTATCAGACTTTATCAGTATATCTAAGTGTATGATAATATGTTTTAGGTAATACTTTGCTAAATGATTCCATACTAATTGGAAACTTATCTAATACAAGTATGGCGTTAGAGTATGAGCGCAGTGACATGACTCGTAGACTGAGCATTCTCCTAGGAGAACTGCTCTTCATCCAGTCACAAATCCAAGAAGGAACTGAATCTACATCAGAACAAGATTCTTACATGAAATCTTCTGAGCTCTTTGATAACGACATTTTTGCTGAGGAATTATCGGATATTATATGCATTGCACTGGCTGAATTACCTACAACTTTGAACATATGTAGCATTGCAGAAACATTGTTGAGAGTCCACAATGGCCCTGCTATTATCTGCAGGATTGTGGCAAATTTTCCTGATTCTTTTAGAGAAGGTATGTAAAATAATAAATATGAATAAAAAAAATAAATGACATCGTTATTGTTATTCGAATTATATTTTATACATTTTAGTCACAACATATTTGATTCAAACTGGAGAAAAACAAGAAGAAAACATATCCAGTGTGGTGAGAACAAAGACAATATCAATACTTTGCAAAATGAACCCCACCCAATCATTGTCTATAAGAAGTAAATGTGTGGAACTGTGTCGAATGCCTGCATTGGCAATTAGTCTATCTATGGATCGTATTGGTAAAGATGGTGGTGCTGATTCAGAGGGAGATATGGTCGCTTTTGTGTCGGGATTGTTATTGGGAAATGATCAAGCGATAAGGTAGAATATTATCTCATCTATTATTGTTAATGAAATAACTTTCTTGCTTTTATTTGCATATTGTAACCTAAAATGAATTTCGAAATATTCTTAATATATTTTTTTAGAAATTGGATAGCCTCGTTTATCAGGACTGGTCAAAAGCGTAAGGGTGAAGTATCCAGCAATGCACTTCAACAACTGCGTGAAGAATTGTCGAAGAGACTTCAGAAAATCATAGATGCTTCTCCAGAAGGAGAGTTACCAGACAGTATGGTAGTACAGGCTTCGGCTTTATTGAGACTGTACTGTGCACTTAGAGGAATTGCTGCAATAAAGTAAGCCTTCTTGGCCAGTTTTTATTTCTTGACTTATCTTGGTTTTACTTTAGATTCCAAGATGACGAAGTTATTCTTATTGTTCAACTATTAACTTCGCATCCAAATCCAACACCAGCTGGTGTCCGTTTCGTTTCTATAGGACTTTGCATGTTGATAGCTTGTCCTTCGTTGATTCTTGTACAGGAACATGAAAGACGCAGTATCGAGTGGGTAAGTAGTTAAAAATATTTAGTTTTAGGTGATAAAACATAAAATTTATCAATCCCATACATTGTTATATCTCTACTTCCACCATATTAGCAAATAATTTCCATAGGTTCAATGGTTAGTTAGGGAAGAAGCTTACTTTGAGTCAACAAGTGGAGTAACAGCATCTTTTGGTGAAATGTTGCTGCTGATGGCGATTCATTTTCATAGCAACCAGCTGAGTGCTATCTGCGATTTAGTCTGTGCCACACTGGGTATGAAAATCGCCATCAGACACAACAACATGACCAGAATGAAGCAAGTATTCACTCAAGAAATCTTCACTGAACAAGTTGTCACTGCCCATGCTGTTAAAGTACCTGTTACGAATTCTTTAAATGCCAATATGACAGGTAAGATATTTTTTTTTATTTTAAGAAAGGATTATGTAGTTGCACCAATTTACATCTTTAAAATTTAGTAACTTTCTGGTTGATGTCCTTTTATTTTTTTATGTTTACCAAGTTTCCTGGTTTTGAGTATTTTTCCTAATGTCTTCAACGACTTTATTCATCTAATTATATAAAACCAATTTGTTAATAGATTTTCTAATGATTTCAAGGTTTTCTACCGATCCATTGTATTCATCAACTTTTGAAATCGAGAGCTTTTGCTAAACACAATGTTAACATCAAGAAATGGATATACAAACAAATTTGTACTAGCGTCAGTCCTCTACATCCCGTTCTAAGAATGTTAGTAGAGGTTTACGTAAACAGCATCATATTGCCATACGCCCATACAAACAAACCATTAACTGAAAATGAAATACGGAAAGTAAGTGAAGTTAAATGTTAAAATAAACATATCTAAATGATTTTTATTTTATTTATATGATTGTTAAGTTTATTTGAAATTGTATTTGCCTCTGTCGATTGTACTTAAACAAATTCATCAAATCATAATTCCAGGTTTTCCAAAGTTCCATATTTGGCCAATACTTTGACCAAAAGCACTCAATTTTCAACATGGACTTCGAAGTAAACTCTGAGTATCAAGACGTTGTCGTAGATAATACGAGCCTAACACCCCAGCTTCTACTGTTGTATTATCTATTACTTTACGAAGACTGTAGATTGAACAACGCTCTACTCAACCTCATGGCATCCGGCGGTAGAAAAATTAAGAAGTACACTCCGGAATTTATGTCCGAACTACCTATCAAGTATTTACTGCACCACGCCCAAAAAGATCAAAGCTCCTACTCAGGTATGTCATTTTATATTCACTATTCACAAGTATTCAAATTTGTCTATAAAAGTTGAAATATGTTTTAAATTACCAAAGCCACGTCATTGAGGAACCATATATTATTATATTGTTTAGTTTTTGATGAGGCCCCCAAAAAAAAATGTACTAGAAAAAAAACCATTGCATTTTTTTTCAGGTTTATTTGGCCCCCTATTAAAACTTCTGGCCACTCATTTTCCCCACCTAACGCTAGTGGAGGACTGGCTGGATGATATGGCTATGCATACCGAGTACAAACCTGTACACATATCCGAGATGTCTGTAGTGGAATCATTTGACGAAATTGAAACTAACCCCTTGAAGTGTGCAAAACTTCTTCAAATGTTGTTAAAGCAAGAAGCTATTGATATCTGGCCTTTTGTGGAAATTTTCGCCCAACATTCCAAGAGTTTTCTGGGGGATAATGTACCGAGATATTTACAAGATTTGTACAAGGACGTATGGTTTAGACTTAATACTGTATTACCTAGAAGATTATGGGTTCTGACTGTTAAAAATCTCGTTGATGACTTTTCTAGTTTAACAAGAATTGATGTTGCGGAAGATCCCTTACAGGTATGATTAATTACACTTTGTAATATATAAACATTCGAAAAATATGTATTTTTTAGATAATGAGATGTGACGAACGTGTATTTCGCTGCGCTCCCATGTACTCTATCGTTCTCAGAGTGTTAAGGGCTAGTCTGGCGTCGTCCCGAAGTCAACTGATGCAACACTTGCAGTCCAATCTAAGATTAGATCAAGCTGGTCAAGTCATGAATGAAGGGGATCGAGAAGATATGTGTAGAGCTTGTATTGCTGCTCAGGTAAACATTCTATTATTAATAATTGTTTAAAATATTTTTTTCTTCATAAAAAAATACTTATGAGCTTTTCATCAACTTTTTAAATAAAAATGAGGTTCGTCTTCTATATTCAGGAATTTAGTAACATACGTTGGTCATAATAATATTTAATTTGACCATAATATAACAATTTATACTTGAATTTATTTAATGAAATTAATATTTTTTCCTTTCAAAATTTTTCAATGCCGTCCTGAATAATTCAAGGCCTTCCCTTTAATGACAGTGACAGCGGGACAATATAACCTAAAAATTGTAAATCGCCAAATTGTAAATAAACATTAAAATCATTTGATTTTTGGTGAAATAGTGAAAGTGAAAACAAAATGGATTATAATGATGGAAGAAAACACGAACGGTATAAATACAAACGAAGAAAGTCTAGGTCAAGATCTAGATCACGATCACCTGCAGCAAAACAAACTCGACTTAGAAAAACTGTTTTGGACTACAAAAGAGAACTTTTAAGGTTTTTAGAAGAGCAATCCAACGTAAGTAATACAAACGACTTTTGGAAATTTTTTGAAAAATATAAATCGTTGCAAACGATACAAAAATCGGACGCGGATAAAAGGAAGCTACTCAACATAGAATTTATGAAAGAGATTCCCCTTTTGTATGAAAAACTTCCTGTACTAGACAGAAATGGCAGAAGAGTTGAAATATCAATGGATGAGTTCAATGATTTCTTACTCATTATAAAAGTTTACCAAGATTTTCAACAAAAAATGAGTTTTTCCAAGTTGAGAAAACTAAAACTTTTCCAAAACGATCTACCAATTGCACAACACAAAACTGAAATAATTGAAAAGCTAAAAACGTCTAGAGTACTCCTAATAGCAGGAGATACAGGTTGTGGTAAGTCAACACAAGTGCCACAATACGTATTAGAAGCAGGGTACAATAAAATAGTATGTACTCAACCTAGACGGATTGCTTGTGTAAGTTTAGCAAAGAGAGTATCTTACGAAACATTGAGTGACTACAAAAACACTATAGGATACCAGATCAGGTTCGAGAAGACAAAGAGGGCTGATACTAAGGTAATTTTTATGACAGAAGGGCTGCTGTTAAGGCAAGCATCTGAGAAGGAAACCTTGGAATCTTATGATGTTATAATTTTGGATGAAGTGCATGAAAGAAATTTACATGGTGACTTTTTAATAGGTATGTACAAGATTATTTAATTATTTTACCCTCAAACTCAATATTTTTAATGTAGTATTAAATAGCACTAACCAAATGAAGATATTTGAAATTCTTTCTTTATATTAGTTGCAAAAACTTACTTTTTATGTTTTGGATGACAGGTTTTTAATAGTTTGTCTAAATAAAATTGGAATTTTTTGTATTCTTTCCATACATTAATGGGAACAACTGCTATTTTTCTTTAATCATTTTTAAATATGAAATGTTGGTTTTCGTAATGTGTTTTTTGGTATTCTTTTATTATATTAGTGGCAAAAATTCCTATCTTCTTCTGATCGTTTTAGAAATTAAGATTTTCCGGGTGAGTTTGGTTATTTTAAATTTTTTTTTGAACAGATAAGTAAAGTCGTCTAAATTCTTTTGTTATTCTTCTATTACGTTGGTTGAAAAAACCATTCTCTCTTTTGATCTATTTTAAATATAAAGTTTTTATATTTCTAATGACTTTTCAGTTATTCTTGGTGGATTATAACAGTTTTTTTAGATCAAAAATTAAAGAGATCTAGATATTTTTGGTATCCTTTCTATATATTTGGTGCAAAAGTATGTTTCCTCTGAGTATGTTTAAATATGATCTTAAGATTTTACTGGTGAGTTTTAAAGTATGAAATTTTTATGACTTTCAGTAATTCTAAAGTAATATTGGATTGTTCATTGTGAGGTAGTATTCACATCAGTTAACGCTTCTTCTGTTATAAATTCTGCCATAAGTATAAGATTCTCCTATCGAATTAACACAATTAGTTTGATTTGAACAAACACAAATAAACAAACATTTCTTTTTAACATCTTTCTCAAAAGTAAATCTGGTATCTAAATTTGTTCATGTGATATATATATATATATATATATATATATATATATATATATATATATATATATACAGTGTGTCCACTTAAGTTCGCACCATATGGGAAACTTTCTTATTATTAGTTTTACGAAAAAAAGTTATTCTTCATAAAAAGTTCTGCATGGTGTAAAAACTAAAATACAACCATCAGATATTAAAATTTTTCAGTCGTATACGAGGTATGTTCAAAAATATGAATTTTACCAAGAGCAAAGTACCTCAATTTTTTATAATTTCGAAAATTGTTATCAAGAAAATTTATTTAAAATTGTAAACATATCTAACAAACATTTAACTCATTTGTTATCAAAAATTTGATAACCTTTTAGTTTCCCAACTTGACTGTTGCAGCATTTTGTTGATGTTTTAAAATAATTCGTACACATAACAACGTTATTTATTTTACAATCTAACATGAATAGCAATTATAACAATAAGTTGTTAAAAATATTTGCAAAAAATATTAAGTAATAGATTTTCTTAGATCAAACCGCCATTGCCTCAACGTACCCACCTTCTCTTTCAATACAAGTTTCCGTTCTACGACAAAATTCTCTTAACACATTTCGAATCATGTTGGGAGTTATAGTCTGAATGGTTTCCGTAATAACCCTTTCCAAATGTTGGACGTTTGTAAACGGCCCTTGTTTGTATACATTCTCTTTCAAGTAACCCCAAAAGAAATAATCTAACGGGGTTAAATCTGGCGACCTAGCTGGCCAAAAAGTCTCTGAATATCTGTGGATTACTCTTCCGTTAAACAAATGATCCAGATACTGCCTTACTTCCAATGTACTATGACATGTAGCGCCGTCCTGCTGGTACCATATTTGTTGCCGTTCATGTAGTGATAGGTCATCAATAAAATCACACACGTGAGTTTGTAAGAAATTTAGATAATTCTGAGAGGTCATGGATTGTCGAAAAAAAAATGGCCCAATTATTTTATCTTTGTAAATGCCACACCAAACATTTGTTTTAAATGAATATTGATCACGAGTCCTAATTGTGAAGTTAGGATTGTTGTCACTCCACCATCGACAATTTTGAGAACTCACCGTTCCATTTGAATTAAATGTAGCTTCGTCTGAAAACATTATTTTTCTAACAAAAAAAGGATCGTCTTCAATTTTTTCTTGAATAAGAAAACAAAATTCTATTCTCTTATCGTAGTCTCTAGGTTTCAATGTATGAATAAATTTAGGCTTATATGGTTTAAACTGATTTTCCTTCAAAATTTTTGCAATTGTACTTTTACCTGCATTTTGCAACAACAATGCCCTCTTTCGTAGAGAATATTTAGGATCTTGCACTGTAGATAACATTACATCTAATTTCGTCGCCTCATTTGCAACGCGTTTTTCACGTTTGTTGCTGAATTTATTTTTAACATCTCCGTATACTTTGAATTTTACCATAAGTCTCATAACTGTTGTATGTTGTATATTTCTTCCTGGATGTCTGTTATTAAATATTTCAGCTGCTTCCCGATACGTTTTATAATTATCACCCACAATTAGCACAATTTCTATTTTTTCTTCTAAATTCAATACCACCGGCATCTTTAATTAGAATTTATTGTAACTGTCAAATATGTATTTTACGTTTAATGTCAGATATGTAAATATCATGGCAACTTGATTAAAAATGTACTTATGCATTTATTACTGTTGTAGGGTAGACATGCAATAGCAAAATGTAGAAAATCTCCATTTTAAACATTTTGTATACATGGCTATATATTTGAACATGTTGTAGACTTCTAAATAAATTTTCTTGATAACAATTTTCGAAATTATAAAAAATTGAGGTACTTTGCTCTTGGTAAAATTCATATTTTTGAACATACCTCGTATACGACTGAAAAATTTTAATATCTGATGGTTGTATTTTAGTTTTTACACCATGCAGAACTTTTTATGAAGAATAACTTTTTTTCGTAAAACTAATATTAAGAAAGTTTCCCATATGGTGCGAACTTAAGTGGACACACTGTATATATATATATATATATATATATATATATATATATATAAATATATATATCCATATATTTTATGTATATCCATATATTTTACCTAATATACAGGAAAATGTTTTCAGGTATAATGAAATGTCTTCTACATCAAAGAGACAACTTTAAGTTGATTCTAATGTCAGCAACAATAAACATACAATTATTTTCAAATTACTTCTCTGAAGAAAACATACAAATAATACAAGTACCAGGAAGACTATATCCAATAGATATCCAGTATAGACCTATAGTGAAAGATCCTTATGAAAGAAAGAGAGAAAAATTAGACTGTACCCCATATTTGCAAATTTTGCAGTTGATAGATGAAAAATACACTCAAAATCAAAAGGGTGATATGCTGGTTTTTCTAAATGGATTTTCAGAGATCTCAACTTTAGCTGATGCTGTTACTGAGTACAGTGAGAGTAAGAAGAACTGGATCGTCTTGCCATTGCATAGTTCCTTGTCTCTGGAAGAGCAGGATAAAGTATGTACAAGATATAAAATATTTTTAATTTATTAGAGAAAAAAAAATACAATACAACTTATTTTAGGTATTTGATTATCCTCCTGAAGGTGTTAGAAAATGTATTATTTCAACAAATATAGCTGAGACGTCAGTCACAATTGATGGAATACGATTTGTTGTTGACTCTGGCAAAGTGAATAGAATGAGCTACAATACGCAGATTGGGGTAAACAAATTAAGTGAATGTAGTATATCCCAAGATAGTGCCAAACAGAGAGCAGGTAAAAAATATATGTTGTATTAGTGTTATACCTTCTTTCGATTTAAATTTCAGTTTTACATTGTGTTGCACGTAAAGGCACGTCATAATAAACTGTTAATATTTTTAAGGTAGAGCTGGCCGTACCGGTCCAGGTATATGTTTTCGACTGTACTCCGAAGAAGATCTTAAAAGCTTCGAAGCTTTCACCCCCGCCGAGATTCACCAAGTCCCGTTAGACTCTTTGTTGCTGCACATGATTTCGTTAGGCCTTAACGACATAACAAATTTCCCATTCATAGAAAAACCCTCGGGTGAAAAACTTGAGGAAAGTATGGAAAAACTTAAGTTTATTGGAGCTTTAGAGCTGGATAACGAATTTTTAGCTTTGACACAATTGGGAGACTCCTTGAGTCAGTTGCCAGTAGATTTGAAAATAGGTAAGTGTGTTAAAAATATATTTAAATATTTGTTTAAGTGGCTTTTGTTTTTTAGGTAAAATGTTGATTATGTCGACAGTATTTGGCAATGTTAACTCTGTACTAGCGTTAGCGTCTCTTCTGAGCGTTCAGAGTCCCTTAACGCAAAAGGCTCAGAGGGATCTAGAGGCCCGTGACCTTAGAAAACCTATAGAATCAGATCACGGAGATCCCATAAGCCTACTTAATTTCTACAAAGAATGGTTAACTGTAAAACAATCATCAACTCCAGCCAAAGGACATTCCAGAAGGGAGGGCGGGTATAATTCGAAAGTCTGGGCAAGAAAAAGGTATGTAGATAATAAAGAAAGAAAATATTCATAAAATACATTGTTCACTGAACTTTCACTGTATATATGCTTTTAATATTAAACCCTATTCTTGTAAAAAAAAAATCAAAACCACTTTTTCATAAACATCTGAAGGTGTCCCCACTTGAGGGTACCTTCAGACGGTGAATGGGGCAGCTTCAGACACAATTGGAAAAATGAAAAACTTGTATAAATGTTTTAGAAATTATTTATTAAAATATTTAAAACTATATTATGATACTTAATCAAACCCCTAATGCATATTGAAGTTTTCCAATGAAACTGAAAAAGACAATAATGATTTCTGTAGCGTTTTGAGTTTCTTTTGATTTGATCAGTTTGTTTTTTGTTTGATCAGTTTTGATTTGATCAATTTTTTTCACAGAATATCTAGGTTTATCTCATTGAGCTTCCAAAATCATCACTCTAATACCCCCAATGTACTTGAAAGTTGAAAGTAAAGTGAATTCATTTTTAGGTGTATCGAGGAACAACGTTTCTATGAAGTAACAAAACTGATCGAACAATTCAGAGAGATTTTGCAAGAAGCTGACTTCTTACCGAAGATCTCTGAAACGAATCTAAGCAGTGGCGAACGGTCCATCAGGCTGGGTGAACTGAAACAACTGAAATCTATGAGATATCAGTTAAAAAACGAAGAAAGATCTAAGAGTAGAAAACAACTCAAATATGAAATGTATAATTCCGGGGAAGCTGGTGAAGATAGTGGAAAAGTTGATATTAGAGATGTGGAATTTAGGATATCACATGACTTTAAAAGGTAAATGTTTCATTCAATTAACAACTAACACACGAAAAATGTAGATTTTCATAGACTATGTGTGTTTTGAATTCAAAATTTGTCAGTTCCAGATTGTAGCCTTCAAAGTTTGTCTTTTGAATGTTTGTAGACCTTAAAATCTGTCTTTTGTAGGTGGTGAACTTCAAAATTTGTATTTTCCAAGTTGTAGTGTTCAGAATTTGTCTAATATGTTCATTATCGATTTCAAAAATGGTCTTCTCTGGGTTGTAGATTACAGAATTCGTCTTTTGTGGGTTGTAAACTTTAAAATTAGTCTTCTGTATGTTTAGGACTTCATAATTTGTATTTTGTTATTTGTAGATTTCAGATTTTGCCCAATCTGTTCTTTATAAATTTCAGATATTCTATTTTGGGAATTAAAGACTAAAAAATTATCTTTTTTAGTTTGTAGACTTCAAAATTTGTCTTTTTTAATTATGGACCTCAAAATTTTTCTTCGGTTGACTAAGACTTCACGGATTTATTCTCAGTAAGTTTTAAATTTCGGAATTTGTGTTTGGTAGATTGTAGAGTTCGCCTTTTATGTTGTTCCTTTTATGTTTTGTAATTTTTTTACATTGTTGACCCTAATCTTCGGGATTTTGTAAGTTTTGTCTTCCAACACTGCTTTTTTAAGCTATAAACTTCAAAATTTCAAATTTTTTGGTCGCAGACCTCAAATTTTTTATTTTTTTTTAAGTTTTACGCCCATAAGTTCTTACAGTGGCCTTTCTTTAGGTGTGTGAATAATGATTATCGAATGTTTTTACTTTCAGGCTTCAACAACTGTTAAACGAAGCATCTGCTGACAGCCACAGGGACCTAATGATGTTGAAATTAATCCTAACAAGCGGTCTTTATCCACAGGTAGCAGTGGAAGATGAGTTCAACTCTTCCAAAACAGTTTCGGAACGGCTGTATCATACCAAACACAATAATTACGTTTTTCTTCGCCCTGACAGCTATTTCGCCTCGAATACAGAAGTTTTGGAATTGCACAACGATGACATAGAAGTACCTCCAGCTGGGTACTTTAGTAAAAGACCTATCAGCCGGAAGCACCAAGTGTTGGTGTATCAAACGATATTGGAGACGAAAAAAGTGTATTTGGTGAATACAATGAGAATGCCAGCTTTGCAGACGTTGTTACTTTTGGGGAAAACTGTATCTACGAATGCTACGTTTACGAAGTTCGTAGTGGACGATTTTTTACTTTTTGATGTACCTTATTTTGGACAAGGTGAGGTCTATTTTAAATTTCACAGATCCACGTCAAAATAAACGGTATTTCACATGTTTTTTTTTTTACTTTTAGGCAAAGCTTTGTTAATGAAGGCTGTACAGTTGAGGAAAATATGGAAAATGAAACTAGAAACAAAGTTGAAAAATCCGGCAAGCGAAAAAGTCGACCAAAAAGACATCTTCTATTTAACCGAAAATTTGGTTAATTATATGACTACCGAAGTAAGTTATAACATCAAGAGACTTCTACCAGCAGATCTCAAAGAGTTATATAACCACGATTGCGAGTTATTTGAAACGGAAAAAATGGATAAAAACCCTTTTGTTGAAGATTACCCTATCACGAAGAATTACCAATACGGCGGCGTAAATATTACAGAAAATGTTGTTTATGCGTGTCTTCTACAAGAACAATGGGCCTATGAGCTAGAAGAAGAAATTTGCAACACTCCTTTTATATGTAAACACTGCAAATCTTCCAGATTGGGTTCGACTCTGTTAAGCAACATTCAACACGAAGAATTTTGTAAAGAGAAACGTAAGGAACCGGTTAGCGATAGTACTAACGAAGAAGTTAGCGTTGTTAAGCCAAATTCCAGATCTTACCATTGTACATTTTGTGGGAAAGATCTGTTACTGACTCCTGTCGATATCTTAAAACATAAAAAGTCTTGTAAATAAAGTGTATCTAATTTTTAACTGTGTTATTATTTATCGACATATTTTGAGTTATTTTTTAGTTCCAGGATGACGAGAATTACATAATTCAACACTGCTTTTGTTTTCTTATATATACTTTTAACTGTATTTTGGTCCTTCGAACCGGATAAAAGTGGATTTTCTCAATTTATAGTGTTTCCAGTGCTGCAATATGTACAGCACAGAAAGTATATAAAATATTTTCTGTTGTTGAATTCGACGATGTTAACTCAAATTCTAGAACTTACCATTTGAAAGCATAAAAAATCGTGTAGATAAAGTGTATTAATTTTGGAACCGAATTTTTATCTAGTAATATATATTTGATAAAAAGCTCGTAAGTTAATATTGTTTTACTCTTTTATATATTTTTTACTGAATTTTTGTCCCTCGGCCCGGTTAAAAGTGAAATTTTTGAACATATCGTAGACTTACTGCAAAAAGTCTTTGTTTGGCCATTTTTCACTGCTAGTGCAAGTTATTCGATTTCTCTAGTGCTCACTAAAGATATCACGGCTAATTCATTGTGAGGTTGCCATACCCCAATAATTTTGAAAAATAAAACTCTATCTTCTTAACTTATTTTTTATTACCGCATTATTTATTAAGACTGCTTGGGTTGTACTGCTTTATTTTTTCCTGTGCATTTTTCAATTCTCCTCGAAACCTTTTTCGGAAGTGGCTTTTGCTTTCGAATTCCTCTTTGCCCTATCAATACAAGATCTTCATTGGGTTGCATACTAAGGTTCTCAGTTTCAGAGCTACCCTCTTATTTCATTTCTGGATTCCATGATATTTCTGAATATTCAAGATGACTATTTAGTGGACCGACATTCGTTGCTGAATACTTCTTAATTTTTCCTACAATAAATAAATAAATCTATTAACGCTTTGTTTTTGTTTCGGTGTTTTAGGAATCTGCTGCCATTCAGATGTTGATCGAAACCTGTTCAGAAACGGAAACTGATAAAACTGTACCAGGAAGAGAATGGGCTTTGCAAGAAGTTCGTTCTTTGGTATGTAGCTATCTGCATCAAGCATTCATTGCTGACACAACGCTCTGCAAACTGGTTCACTTTCAGGTTAGGCTTTTTTTGATTATTAAATGCGTAAAGCAAAAAGTTTTGGATATAAGCGAGAGAAGTTCGTAACTCTACTATTTATATTTTCTTTGCAGACATATCCTAGCGAGCTGATCGAAATTGTCGTTAAAGGAGTGCCCTCTATGCACATATCTCTAGATTTTTTGCAAGAATTGATGCAGCAACCAAGTCTCAACAAACAGATCTTCGGAATTCAGTTACTTTCCTACATAAGTTTGCAGTATGCTTTGCCGAAAAGTCTCAATTTGTGTGTTACGGCGTTAAATTTACTGTACGCTCTTCTTGGAGGTAAGAAATAATTTTGCAATCGAGTTAAAGTTATATAGAACGTCCTATATATGATATATTTTAGGTCTATCAAGTGGCCAACGAGTAAAACTGTTCAAACCCGTTCTACCAGCTTTGGTTCGAATCAGCGAAGCTTTTCCACCTTTGACAGAAGACATTCTCAATCTCCTGATGCAGCTGGCCCGAGTTTGTGAATCGCAGGCTTCGTTGGCTTCACATTTCGATGCCCATTTGGGGAAAAGTTTGGAGATCGCTTCGCAAGAAAGTGCCGAGTTGTGCGATTTGACTCAGAGGACGTTTTCGGAGATTCTTGATCAGGCTGTCTTAAAAGCCAAAGTTTATAAACAAGATTAGAATTAATATTGATGTTTATCTATTTTTTAATACAATAAATAAGTTTTTTATAGTTTGTTTTAGTATAGTTTAAGATATACACAAAAAACATACCTACAATGAAGTAAAAACTGCTGTTTGTACAATGGTATAAAATTTTATTATTAAAATTTAAAAAAATGAAAGTATAACCACTTAAAAACCGACAAATACGAAAAGAGTGTCGCAAAGCTAAAGAACAGTGGCTGCTAGACAGGTGTGCAGAAATTGCATTGAGGAATTGGAAGAAAAACATGACCACTAAACTGGTTAAAGAAGTGACAGGTCGTACAAAACCTTGCAGTTTGAACAGTATTGTGAAGGACAATAAATTAATTACTGATCTCAAGGATCTACTTCAACATTGGAGAAACTACACACAGCAACTATACTCAGACAACACTAGAAGAAACTCTGAAAGTGATAATAAACGTGAACCCTCCCCCAAAATATTAGAAGTTGTAAGGGCAATCAAACGGAGCAAATGGGGAAAAGCACCGGGCCCAGACGACATATAAATAGAGGTTCTAACAATGTTAAGTGAAGACAATATAGACGCCTTGGTAGATCTTTTTAATAAGATTTATGGGTCCGGTCAAATACCACAAGACTGGCTTCAATCAACCTTTATACCAGTCCCAAAAAGCCAAACGCTAATAGTTGCGATCAATTCCGAATGATCAGCTTATTGAGCCAGGTCCTAAAACACTTCTTAAAGATAATTCATATAAGAATATACAACATATTATGTGAAAGAGACATTAGCCCCACACAGTTCGGTTTCAGACAAAGATTTGGCACAAGAGAAGCACGTTACAGCTTAACTGACCTACTTCAGAAATGCAGGGATCAGCAAAAATATGTCTTCCTATGCTTTATAGATTACCAGAAAGAGTGTGATTGTGTTAATCATTCAGAATTAGTAAGATTGCTCCAGGAACGTTCGATAGATGAGAACGACCTTAAAATCATAAAGAACCTTGATATGAATCAAGTGACATTTGTGAGAGTCGGACTGTAATCAACATCATATTTCTCAATCTTAAAAGGTGTACGACAAGGTTGTGTTCTGTCACCCTCCTTTTTAATCTTTACTCTGAAACGATTTTCGATAAAGCCTTAAGTGATGCTGAAGATGGAATCAAAATCAACGGACAGACTATTAGTAATCTTCGCTATGCTGATGATACAGTCATATTAGCTGATAGCCAAGAAGCGCTACAACGACTAACAGATAGAATAAACACTGAAGGAGAACGACTGGGCTTGAAGATTAATATAGACAAGACGAAGGTAATGGTGGTTAGTAGAACACGAAATATGCAATTAAATATAAGAGTAAACAATAAGATACATCCAAAAAGTCCCCAAGTTCAGATATCTCGGTAGTTAGATAACTGAAGATCTAGATCCAGACATAGAGATACGTAGCAGGATTGAGCAAGCCAGAACAGCATTTAATAATATGAGAACCTTGCTAATCAACAGCATCCTTACCTTAACGCTTCGATAACGCTTTGTAAAATATTACATTTACTCCATAGCTTCTATATTTTGTAGAAACCTGTACCATAAAGGCCAATGTGATGAACCGATTGGAGGCCTTTGAAATGCGGGTATTTAGAAGACAACTTAAAATACACTGGAGAGATCACACAACAAATTTCGAAGTATTAAATCAAATGGGCAGAGAAGGAGAATTGCTGTCAATAATAAAAAGAAGATCTGCCTATCTGGGTCATATATTTGCAAATTCCAAGTACCAGTTCTTAAAGCTTATTATGGAAGGAAAGATAGAAGGAAAATGGAGCATCGAAAGAAAGAAATACTCATGGCTTAAAAACATAAGGGATTGGACAAACATCGACGCCCATGCACTTTTTAGAGCCACATAAGATCGAGAGGAGTATGCCAGAATCGTCGCCAACATCCTCTAATCGGATAGGGCACCATAAGAAGGTAACCACTTAAAAATGAATACAAAAAGCTAAAATTTTTAAATTTTATGTTAAAATGAAAATGTGGTTATTACTGCCATCAAGTGTCCTAGTCTATCGACCAATAGCACGCACTCATGCGTATCGCCCCGCCCACCTCGACTTGGAAAGTGTGTATAAATATTTGCACAATTTTCAAGTCGGCATTAGTCTACTCAACACGGCATTACGCTATAGGGGGTCTCCTGTCGGGGCTCTACCCTATTCTACACTTTGTTAGACTCTGTAGCTAGCCTTTGCTATACCAGTACCTTGAATTTGAATACTCATCCTGCTCTGAATTGGATAAGTGCTTAGGGGTACTTCGTACACTATACATAAAGCCTCTAAGCAGAGCATACAGCGGAGTGGATAATTTAAGAGGTCCACTCTTACTGAGACCACATGACCTACGTCTATACAGTATTTGGAATTAGCCACATGATGAGGTCAGATGACCCTTATATTACATAATTTGAGTAATTAACATTATAATACACATACAAAACAATGTTTACTTACTTCTGTCAAACAGTTGATTATTACAGACAGACAGTTTATTATTTACACGTACTTTAGATATTCCACCCTCCATACAGACTTTGGTCATCCGAATGAGTTTCTTTGGTATTGAGAAATCCGCCATGGCATTCCTGGCATACTTTGCTTCTTTCTACGCTATCATATGCCTGTCGAAAGTCTATAAAAATATTGTGTATGGGTCTGTTATACTCCCATCCCTTTTCTAGAAGTTTCTTCAAAGGAGGATTTTTGACGGGCATGTCCGCTGTGATATAGATCTCTTCTTCGTGCTGTTATTGCTGTATGATGTTAAGAAGGTCCCTAAAATACTTTTTCCATTCTTCAGTTACTTCTTTACCGTCTATTATCATACGGCCTTGATTGTCTCTCAGTGTATGGATGGAATTGGTTTTATGTCGTCTTTTCTCGAGGAAATTGCTTTATAGAATTCTCTGGAGCCTGGTTTGGGCCGGTCTCACTCCATAGCTTCATATTTTTGTTGTTCTTAGTTGAGTTGTATCCAAGTCTTCCTTACTGTTTGTCTTTTTTTCCAGATGTTTTCGACATTCCTCGTGATACCATGTTTTTGCCCTCTTCTGCCTACTCCTTCCAAAGATCTTGTCCGCTGTCTTGGTTATTATTTCGGCAGTCGCTTCCCATAGCTGTTGTATATCATTGTATTCTCTTTCAGGGTTTATTGTTGTTTTATTGTATTTGTGCTCTGACTAAATAATGTCTCAGTCTAAATCTGTATCTCAGTTAATTCCTCTCAGGCTTCTTACGTCTATAATATTGTTACCATGACAGGCATCTACAATGATATGGTCAATTTGGTTTCGCGTAATATGGTCGTTTGAGACCCGTGTTTGCTTACGGATGTCTTTATGCGGAAACATGGTTTGACTTTATTAGCTACTGCAGTTTCTGTGAGTCTTAAGCCATGGTCGTTGGATATATTGTGTAGGTTGTGTTTACCTCTAGGCTCTTTGCCTATTTTAGCATTAAAGTCCCCACAGAGTATGCGCATGTTTGGGCATCGTATCTATCTCTCTTTCTAGGGCATCGTAGAAGTCATCCTTGATATCTTCATCCTTCTCTTGCGTTGGTGTATGCGCTGAGATAATCGAAATGTTGTATCGTTCTCCCTTCATTCGTATGTAGCATATCCTTTCATTTATAAGTTTAAAATTTAGTATATTCTGTACTAGGTTGTCTCTAATCACAAAGCCCGTTCCAAATTCATGTCTTACGTTTTTGTTACCTCTGAAGAAGATGGTGGATTTACTTATTTTTATATTTCCATCGTTTCCAATCCACCCGTTCCTCACCCTACCTCAGGCAGAGTTTATATGCGTCTATGGTTTCATCATATTATAAAGTGAAAATTGATGTTCTTAAATTGAAATATTTTAAATAGATTAAGCATATTAAAAGAGAACAAATATTTATATTATAGTTTACATCTAATTATAGTGAATATTAACGTTGATTGAATAACCCAAATTCGGTTATTCAATCAACGGTATTAATAAAACTATACTTCTTCTGTGCCATTTTCGGAATGCTCCACACGTTTTGAATTCTGTGTTTCTAGGATTTTCTTTAGGAATTTTGATTATCTTTTTGGGTATAAGTGGTAGAAATAAGTAGGCAGAATAAATAACACAGTTGTTGTACATTTAATATAAACCAAAAATTATTTACAATTTACAAAATTAAAAACAGTAATTATATTAAAATTTCTAATAGGAAATAATGTACAATACGTACATTTCTACGTATGATTGTAGAGTATCAATAAAATCGGATCCTACTTTGTACAATGATATAAAACACACGTATAATATATATGTATAATAATTTATATTTTGAAGCGTAGATAAGTACATAAGATATATCAAGGCATCTAATTTTTTATTTTGGACAGTATGTACCCTGAATACATATTGCATATTACATTTTTGGCAAATTGGGTATGATAGCAAGAGGGGAAAATTTTTTGTCGAAAATATGTACGAATTGTTAAAGAAAAAGGGCGACTAGTAGGCATTTACCCTGTTTTTAAGCATTTAACTGGCAGTTTAATTGTTTTTATTAAGAATTAACAAAAAATCGCAAAAGTGTATTTGCTTCTGGTGAAGGATTTATTTTTCTTGTAAAAGTGCAGATATCAAAACACTTGGAAACTCGAGGTACTCAAAACACCATGACATACTTCTGCTAGTAACTTTATACAATTACACCAAACGGTTTATTGTAATTGTATATGAAGAGAGCACATGGAGACAAGTATATATGAGGAAGTACATGAAGATGTGTGAGATAGTGACTATAAGGTGGTGATCGATGAAATTAGGGGATGACCTCCTTCGCGCTCTTCCAGCGATGGAATGAGGTAATCACAAGGACTACTAAGCTATATCTTTAGACAGAAACAGATGGGTGAGGTAGGAAGAGTGTTTGTAGAGGTAAATGTGAAACCAATGATGCATTTGTATGACAACTTGTCAATTAGTATATTTCCGTGAGTGTGGACGGAAGGAAGGTTTGTTTTGATTGAGAAGTAATGAAAAATTTGCTTAAATTAATGATTTTTATTAACAATAATCCATATTTTCGACAATGGTTATAAAAATTTTTTTGCCATCATTGAGGTGTGGAAGGCAACGAATATATTGAGTATTTTTGCATATGACACAATGTTAGCTGCTTCTAGAAATTATTTTGACGGAAAGATACAGGTTTGTTCATAAAGAATTATTACCGGTAAATTATAATGTAGGAATATTAATTATTTGAACAAAAAATCAATATTCCTATGTATTCTATATAAGAAAAATATCCTATATAAGACATATGTACAAAAAATGGCAAATGAAAAAAATCATTTCTGTACTTTTTATTAAGTCATTTTTTTGTAAAAGTAAAAAACAAAACGGTATAGATGTTCAATACGTTTTTGACGTTTTGTTTTTGTTCAATACGTCTTTAAAGTTCAATTAGTACGAGATTTCAGGATTTCCAGGAAGAAAATGAAAAGTTTCACAAATCCTTTTTCTATTTCATTTGAAGACGTTGAAAATTGTCCATCGGAACTCTAAATAGAAATCATAGATTAACAAAGTAATATTTTATTGAAAAATTATATAACGAGAATATTTAAAACACAAGCAACTCCAATTGTATTGAATTTTGGAAATACGTTTCTACGACTAAGTTTTATATTCTAATCTTCACAATTTTGATTTGCCGTATTCTTATTTCGGTTCAAAGTATGTTGTGAAGAAATGTTTTCAATTCTGAATATTAAATCAACACTATCGTTTAAAATTAACCAGTATTCATTTGAAAAATCTAATTTTATTAGCTGTATCAGAAATTGGTCGCAAATTCAAATTAAAAAAATATATTAATAATAAAACTGTGTTATGATGTATAAACTATACAAAGTTTTTTTTAGACAACTTTTTCGTGGCAAGAATATTTACCTTTTCATTAACAGTTAGTGCACTGCCACGAAAGGTTTGTTTGCTGGTGTAACCAGTGTAATGTAAACATAGCAAGGAAATAAAGAAAAAATAAAAAAATAAGTGATAGTTAGCCTAGAAAAGAGTAATAATTATTTAAATAATTATTATATATTCCAAATTGAATAAAGAACATACTTAACGTATACATTTCAAATTAAACAAAGAATGAAAACTCGACCTAGTTTAAGTGTATTACAGGAGTCTCAATATCAGGTCGCCACGATTGTTTAAAAGAAAAAAATCACGTTTAAAACATAGACCGTCGTTGGAAAATAACACCACCGCATGACCCAGTTTTAAGCACGAGGGCTCGGTCAGCATAAACTCGACCTCGGTACTGCGATCGGTAATTGAGGATACGGGTTCATAAAAAACGAACGAAGTAGGCCAGGAGGGTCAGTAAGAACTAGGCACCCGTGCTCCATGCCAGAAGCACGGGCGATCGAGGCAATAAGTACGCGGCACCAGTGAGCGCGCTATTGTAATTCGACGAGATAGTGCCAGATATCCGGTGTTTCGAAAATTCGTGATAGCGCGCGGTACCTCAACAGACTGATCCTGAATTCCAGTAGGACTGAAAGACGTATTCATTAGCTAGGGCCTAAATACGCGAAGGTAACTAAATCTATATACTAATCCAGGGCCTATATAATAAACATAGATTGTCCACCTTTTAATTTCTTGGTAAGGTTTCTTCTTGTCTTTTTTAGCGTCTGATCGAATCTTTATTGGTTATAACTGATATCTTGTTATCTGAATTGTAGTATTCAGTCTATTTAATACATAGTAAACTCAAAATTTGGTTTTATTGTTCTTTCCCGGCCGTTACAGGTAGAGACTAGAAGAGTCAGACATTTTCCGCTTATACATTTCTCCGGCTTCTAAAGCAAGCCCATAGACTCAACTCTTTACAGGACCTGAAACCTGGAAGTCCTTCATCCCCCTTTCCCGAATTTCCCTACCCTCCTGAAAACCCGCGAGGTCGAAAACAGTCCGTTCAGACTAGTGGGACCAGTAAGCCTTGCCTTCGCTCGCAGGGATAAGTATCCCCTAAGAATTGTAGACGCATTCAAGGATTTGAGACAGGCGTCTATTACAATGATGACAGCGGTATTTATTAGAATGGTGACAGTAGGGTTCCCTCGAATATTAGTATCGGTTCTCTAAACTTTTACAGTGGTGACTCACCAACTATTACACCAGGCTGCCCGGGTGCCAAAAACATTATTAACGTTTGTTCAAACCATTTACGCAGAATTTAATTATGAATTTTGCCTTTACCGATTTTAAACCTGTTCGATTTTTTCTTTGATTATTATATCTGAAGTATTTTAAGTAATTTGCCTATCTTCACAGATACGCCTGTACAGGAAATTAATTTTTTTAATTTGCCTTTTTGTAACGAAAATTTGGAAAGTTTATAAAAATATTGTTAAGATTTACAAAAAGCTACTATATAAAATCAACAGTTATTTGATGGCAGCTTTTATGGTAATTTGTAATACAAATGCTGTAAAACCATAGAAATTTCTATAAATATGACAAATATTGAATCGTGTCAATATTGTAAGCTCAAATTGCCTCGACCTAGGAACGATTTTTCTCGTACCATCGGCTTTTTATTGTCCAAAATCACGATATGATGCAGTTCTTATCTTTGTCGTCAATCGAAACTCCCTTCTTACTCGGCGATTTCTGAATGGTAGCTTGTCTCCGTCTAGCTATGGCAAGAGTATCATTAGGAACGTAGGATATTCGAACACCACCGTAGGCTCTTCGTGGTGGTAACTGGTAATCGAGATCGTCGCTGGAAGAACTGGAAGAGCACGTTGAGCAGTAACTTTCTGTGTCGTCGTCTCTGTCTCTTGGTTTGGAAGATGAACATCCAGCTTGTGGAATTGAGCAGGAAGCCTTCCTTAATTTTCCTTTCCGCGGTAGACTGTCACCTCCATGTTTTGACCTACCTGAGTAACTTCTAGATCTCGGAAACTTCCTAGATGCTTCTAAGCTAGCGTTGTCGTTCTCGTCTGCCTCAAAAGCTTCGTTATCACCTTGAAATCGTACACTAAGTGATCCTTTTCCTTTTTTGCTTGGAGATCCCGGAGTGGTTGAATTGCCAGTATCGCTAGATCCTCCTGGAAGTGCTAACTCTGGCATGGAAGACGCGTGTTGCGGTGCTTGATCGGCATTGCTCATATTGGAATCCTTTTCTTCGGCATTACTACTTTGTTTATCGGATTCTTCTTTTTTATTGTCTGAAACAGAACGAGATGTCCAATCATCGATGCTCAAATCGGCTAAATGTAGTGGTTCTCGGCTTCTATCTCTGGCTAGTAATAACTTTTCAAGATCTGGTGAATGTCCTTGGTTACCTCTTTCTGTCAGAAGACGTTCTAAATTTCTTTCTAACAAAACCCTATCTAAACCTCGGCAACTTGGCGACAGTACAGGCAAGCCTTTAGTAATTACTTCTTCGTTTATTGGATCGTTTTGTGAGGTAGTAGTTCCGTTGTCAGATAAAGTGGGAGTACTAGGTATAGAAACTGGTTTGGGTGATCTTTGCAAGGCTCTTCGACCCATTTTAGGCGACCTTGTGGTGGTAGGAGATCTATTTACATATTGCCCGGGAGGAGAAGAGGGAGACGAAGCTGTAGGAGATCTGGGTGGTAAATGTCGTCTCATAGAAGGAGATTGCGGGGGCGTACTACTTTCATTCGGCGAAGGAGGCCTAGGAGGTCTGTTTTTTAGAGGCTGCCTTGGTACTCTAGTATTCGGACCAGAGGAGTCACTGGGCGTAGGTGGCTCGCCTTTACTACACGCTATAGAGCAGTAAATAGCGCCCCTTCTAGGCAGAAAAGGTCTTCCTAGAAGCGACGTGTGGCACGTATGGCAGCAAAAACAACTTTCAGTGGCATGCCAGTGTTGACCCTCGTGAGACATTTGACCTTGATCCACACCGATTGGTTCGCCACATGAGTCGCAGTATTCGGCGAACATGGCGTCGAAACAATGTAGACAGTATGGCCTTCCGTCTCTCATGATATACCTTTGTCCTCCGAGCTGTCTTTCGCATTCTGAGCAAGAGAAGTGTTTCATGTGCCATGCGCGACCTTCCGCTTCGGTGCATTCGTCGGCGAGAATTATCTAAAACAAAAAAAATATTTAGATTAGAAAATTTGTGGCATTACTATAATTCAAAAAACTAAGACATGTTGAAGAAGTTTTCCTTCTTCAATGACGTACAATTCGTAGTGTACATCAATGATGATACTACGAATAAAGAGAGAGAAATTCAGAAAACAATTAGAAAACTTCCGCAAGAAGAAAAGGAGAGAGGAAAGGATGTAAGCCTTGGTGGAAATCAAATATGGATCAACAAGGTCGGCTGGAAATGGGGCAACAAACAGAACAATTCTAGTCAAAATGGGGACAAAAAACTAGTAAACAAATGTGCCGGAAATACTATGACAAACCAGGCAATGGCACTGGACATGAGTAGTTATAGAATAGGTAGTAAAGACAAAGATAGATCCATAAATAATGACCAAGGACGTGAGCAACGAGAGACAAGAAAGGATAAAACCTTAAAAATGCAGTCAGCAACGAGCGAGAATATAAACAGTAACTATGTAAAACCCACATAAAACCAGAAAGAGCGTAATGACACGGCTCACAATAAAGGAGCAGTGCTAAAGTCCAAAGGATGGACATTAGCAACATGGAATGTCAGAGGTCTCAACGGCAAAGAAGTCGAACTTGCTGAAGAATTTGAGAAAAATCAAATAGACTTGCTGGGTATAACAGAGACCAAAAAGAAGAGAAAAATACACAGTTTTTAAAAAATGGAAACTTCCTCATCACCAATTGAGTGCCACTTGGCGAAAGGGCAAAAGAAGGGGTAGGCTGCCTGATACACAGTAACCTAAAAAAGAATATTTGGGAATGCATTTCCGAAAGAATTCTAAAGATAAGACTGGTAACTGCGAAACGCAAAATAGTCAATATCATCGTTATGTACGGAATAAATGATAAAAGAGCAGCTAGCAAAGACCTATTTTGGGATAAGGCCTCAGAAATAATAGACAGTTTAGAAGGCAGTTTAGTTTATGTGTATGAGATTTTTCAAGCTTGTTCTTTAGTTTGACCAGATATGTTTTTTTCTCCCAGTTTAATTGTTTTTATATTTGATCATTGATGTCCTTTTCTTTCTCCATGAAGTTTCCTATAATTTGTTTCAGTACATTTCTATTCTTTGTATCAATGGCAAACTCGGTGCCTTATCATTCTTTAATTTGTCTACTGCTTCTCTAATCTCACCCACTGTTGAAAGGTTTTTTTCTGTTGTCTGCTTGATTCAATAGTATTTTAGGATTTGCCTCCCTCCTTCCTAACCTTAAAATGTTTTGTACATCTTCGTAGTATTTTATGCTGTTTTGTTAAGATATTTTCATTCTTATCGATACCGAACAAATTTGAAATAAACGGTTTGAATTAAATAATCTTCCTGTATGTTATTTTCATTCGAAGTATGTACTGGCTTTGACTATATTAAGCGTTTTTGGCTACGTTTATCAACCTATTGCCATTATCTTTCGATTGCTCGTTGTTGCTTATTTGACTCAATTTATCACAGAAGTTTTCTTTCATTTCACCTTCTTTTTACTCTATTCTTCTTCTTCAAGTTCCACTCCTATCGGAGATTAGAAATCATTCTGGCAATTATAATGTTGTTGGTTACTCGCCTGAATAGTTCAATTGAACTGCATCCAAACCATTCACGGAGATTGCGTAGCCACGAGATTTTACGTTTTCCTACGCTTCTTCTACCTTTGATTTTACCCTGCATTATATTCCTTAGTAGTTCGTATTTTTCACATCTCATGATGATTTCAAACTTCGCATTTTTTTCCTAGTTGTTCGAGAACTTGTTCGTTTATTTTGCGACCCATCCATGATATTTTCAAAATACGTCGGTAAAACCACATTTCAAATGCTTCTGGGTTTTTAATGTTGGTTTTTTTTAAGTGTCCAAGCTTCAACTCCATACAAAAGGGTAGAGAAAATATAACATCGAAGCATTCTTATCCGGAGCGATATATTGATATCGCGATTACAAAAAAGTTTTCTCATTCTATTAAAAGTTGACCGTGCAATTTCAATGCGGCATCTTATTTCTTTTATCTGATCAGTATCTTCTGTGATCCATGCTTCCAAGGTATTTGTAAGAAGATATTTGTTCAATTTCTGTATTATCTAGTACTAGCTTAACTTTGATGTTTTGTGCTTTTGTAAATACCATGAACTTGGTTTTCTTAAAATATATATTTAGTTGTTCAGCAAGGTGTTGCAGTTCTTTTAGTGTTCCTGCCAGAAGGACGATGTCGTCAGCATATCTTATGTTATTAAGTGGCTCACCGTTTATTATAAGGCCCTCACTGATCTCGGCAAGCGCTAATTCTGAGATGGCTTCACTGTATAAATTGAATAACAAGGGTGATAAAATACACCCTTGGCGGACCCCACGGCGAATCTGGATATCCTCGGTCAGTTCATTTTCAACTTTCACTTTTGCTGTTTGGTTCCAATTGAGGTTACAGATGATTCTAAAGTCTCTACTGTCTATGTTTTTATTCAATAAAATTTCTTTAAGCCGATTATGCTGCACTCTGTCAAATGCCTTCTCAAAAACAATTAAACAGGCATATACTTCCTGATTAATATCCAAGCATCTCTGCGAAAGAACACTTACTGTAAACAGTGCACCTCGTGTTCCAGTCCTTTCCTAAATCCCATTTGTGTATTACTTATGCCTTCATGCTAATTTCTTATATATTCTATTGTGAATTACATTTTAAAACAATTTCAAGATATGATTCATTAAGGCTATGGTGCGATGTTCATTGCACTCCTTTGCATTGGCTTTTTTGGGAAGCAGTATCAATGTTGATTGGAGCCATTATTTAGTTATTATACCTGTTCTATATATTGTATTGAATAGATCCAGAAGAAGATCAATAGATTCAGTATTCACAATTTTAAGTAATTCGATAGGAATTTCATCAGGCCCGGGAGATTTACCACCTTTAGCTTGTTTCATTGTATATTCAATTCCTTCTCGTATAATATCAGGCCCAGTATCATCCTTAAATTCTTTTGGTGTTTCTGTCCTCTCTTTGTCTTCAAAAAGTTGTGCTATATATTGTGTCCATCTCTGCATTTTTTTGTTTATATTTGTTATAAGTTTCATCTCTTAGTTGCCTAGTTTGAAGTGTTTTCTCATTCCTGTTAATTCTCTAATTCTTTTATGCATGTTAAAAAAGTCTTTATTTTTTCTCAATTTATTCTGGTTCTTGGCACTGTTCATGTAACATTCTCTCCTTAGCTTCTTTTATTCTCTTTTTAATTAATCGATCAGTTTCATTATATTTAATTGGATTTTTTGTTTTGAATGATTTTCTTTGATTCATTAATAGTAGTATTTGGTCAGTCAACCAGTCTTTATGTTTTCTATTCTTTGGCTTTAAGTTTTCATTTGCTTTTTAATTATTGCTACTTTTATATTTTCCCATTTCTGATCAATGTTATAGCTACTTTTATTCAGTTCTTGGGCCTTACGTAGATTTTCAGTAAGAGTCACAGTTTGTTCGTGGTTCCCTTAATCTCTTAATATCAATTCTACTTTGTGTGGGTTTTTTAATCAGTTTTAATTTGGTTCGTAATGTGACTACTATGGGGTTATGGTCTGAACCGATGTCTGCTCCAGGGTAAGTTTTGGCAGACAGTATAGGATAACAAAATCTTTATCTATTACATGAGAGCAACTACGTTAAATAGTCAACAGTTGGGAAAACCTCCTTTAAATCTGAATATAGACAAAATATTGCAACATTTGTTGCAAATGTAATTACAAGAATAGTTTGTGTTAATAGATTAAAGTTAAGTTTAGAATAAGTGTATTGTGTTTTTGACCAAATAAACAAATTTTAAAAGGCTCCCACCACAAAGTGTATAGTGTTTTGAATGATTTATCGCAAACAAAAATTCAAAGTTTATGAAAATATATAAGTAATCGGCTACACATAGCAACATATTCTATATCTATATTATATTAATAAGCTGTAATAAAATCAAATACCTCGTCGCAAGCAGAACATCTAGGTTTAATGGTTTCTGCGTGATGCCTCCCGCAATACAGTCGACCCTCCCTGTAGAAGTAAATGAGATCGACAAGAAGCTCTCTGCAAACGGTGCAGGTGAAGCACGCCGGATGCCAGCAGGTGTTGGGGCCAGCACGGCTAGCAAATACTCCGATGTCACCTGCGGAGAGGGTTTCTTCACACTGCAAAATGAATAGAAGTCATTAGATCTTCATTTGAGAGCGAATTATTTTAAATCTAATATCAAATTGATCGATTAGACGGTATAAATCTAAAATAAGGCTTCCGAAATGCACATAAGGGGGTATTTTTAATTTAAAACTTATTTTTAATTAAAACAATTTTTTAAATTCGTATCTTGTCGACCTTTGGTAATTAGTGAAAAATTAGACTCTTTCTATCAAAGATGGTATCGAAAAAGTTGTTGGTTTGTATGCATGTATGCACTACAGTACAAATTTAAGAGCTTACAGTCTCTAAAGACACCAACAATTAACCAAGAACTTTGATTCATCGAGGTACAAAAAAATAAGACTAATTTCCATTGACATACTTATCATTTATTTTATTTTGTTACAGAAATTGATAAAATTAAAGTTTTTTTTTGTTTATCTTGTTAAATACATTTTTTTTAAATAAAAAGCTATACGTGCTTTATAGTAGATGGCAATTAAATATTCGCACAGTTTTTCCCAATGCAATGAGTCCCATAAATCACGTAGCAATTTCAATAAATGGGGTCATAAATTACGGCAAAAACTTTCAAGTGTTACAATATGTCCCTCACCCCAACTGGAGGGTAGGACCAGGCAACCATGCTCATAAATCCAGTCCTTATTCTCGCCTGTCTCTTACCATACGCTCTCGAATACGTGTAAAATATCGAGACCTTGTCATTTTTCGATTATTCGGGAGGCACTAGTGCAACTGCTTTATGAAAAAATGCCATATGTGTACTCGCGTGGAGGTGGAAGCAAGTATATTGAAATATATAGAAGTGTCACAGGGTTTGTCGATAAATTTGAATGGATGCGATATTTGGAATTCGTTTTATGTCTCGAGTTTCAAATCTTTTGTGATTTTGGGAGAATTGGAGACTATAAAAAATTATTTATTATTTTGAAACCAGTAAACTTGATAGTAGATTTGTTTTTATTTTTACCAGTGATTTATATTTAAATTTATAACTCTAGGTACAATTTATGGGCGTAAGGATATGTTTCTCGAAATTTTTCATTATTTTTAAAAACGAGCATTGTTCCGTTACAAAATTTCGGCTATATCACATCTTGTAGCCTGATTACCACCCATGCAACCCTGAGCTATAAATTGTGTGGCAGGTAATCTTGGTAAATGCAGTGAATTAAGGAATTCAGTTTGACAATTGTCAACTTGTTTGCATCAGTAATGGAATCGATTCATTTAAATTAGTCTATTTATTGATCAATGCGACTCTGAATTTTTATATTTAACTAATCTACGTCCTTATTTTTCGCCTCTAAAATGAGGGACAAGGAAGTAGCCTCATCGAGTAAACACTATTGACGACGTCCCCTGGATACGTATTTTCAACACCAGACCAAACCAAATCTGATAACAAACATCAAGCTACAACGGTTCTTCACAGAGCCAACATTGACAGTGAGCATAAATATAGACGGCATAACTACAGCCAAATAAGACGAAATGTGAGTTATTGTGCATCCAGGAAACCTACAGAGACCTAACTGCAGCGAGACCGAAAGTGTCCGGTTTGAAACTGATTGCAGAGATACCACACAATAAGCATGGGAGCGCGGTATTGGTGAGAACTTAAACCATAGTCTCAGCTGTGGGAACAAAAAATGTACACGGTATAGAGATAATAACCACCGAGATAGTAAAATGCACAATAACTCGGTATACAAGACCCCAAACCAACATTTTTATTTTCACTCCCAACTAACTTTCAATCACAACCCAATCCGCTTGTACTGGAAGACTTTAACAGTCACAGTTGACTCTGGGGCTATTTAGATTCGGACGCAAATGGAGACGCAGTAGAAGCATTGGCCTAAACGAGTTGCCTCACGTTAATACATGATACTAAACTTCCACCATCTTTTCAGAGCGAAGTTTGGAAAAGAGGACATAACCCGGATATCTCTTTTTCAAGCAATAACCTCGAAGATCGGTGTACCAAAGTAGTATATGGCCCCATACCAAAAACTCAGCCTATACCAATTGCTATAAATATCTTTCCAATTGTCAGACTACAAGCTATTCCATTCAGAAGGAGATTTGACTTCAAAACGGCAAACTGGCAAAAGTATGCAGACATACTAGATTCTGAGCTACTACGTCTTGAACCAAAAGTAGAGAACTACGAAAAATTTATAAAGGTACTCAAAAATGTGTCTAGAAAAACTATATCCAGTGGATGTAGATAACAATATATTCCCGGGATGTCCAGCGAATCCAAAGAACTAATGAGAACATACGAATCCCTCTATTCCACTGACACTTTTAGCCAAGAAATAGTTTACTGCGGAGTACTACTTCAACAGCTAAATCAAGCCAGACAGGAAAAGTGGATTGAGACCCTGGAAAAAATGGACATGACACATAGTAGCAAAATAACTTAAAACCTTGAGCAAATTCCCCTTCGTTGGCTCAGTGAAGATGTTCGTTCAGTTGTAATGGAAACACAAAATAATAGTAGCAGAGTTTATTGACGAGACGTACACTATGGGTGTTGACCCGGGATTACTTTGAGTAGAGACTGTTGCAGTTGAGCGTTGAAGACTATCACGTTTGTTGAGTGAATATTGATTGAATGCTTCTCTAGGCAAGAGATTTTAGTTTTATATAAGTTTTAATTGGGTCAATATATTCGCGGACCTAATGACATGTGTATCTAAGTTGTGTGTAAATTGTTTAACTTTCGTCAGCACTTTCGACTGATGTCCAAATTTTATTGTTGATAATTGACCAAATCTAATGTAACCTAATTGACTACGTGTGTGTCTTTAATAACAAATAAATTCATTCGGTCTACTGGGTGATAAAATTATACTGTCCAATTTCGGATATGAATTCTGAAGATTTGATATTGGACAAACCTTCTAAAAAAACTTGTGATGAAAAACGTGGTGATCCAAAAGAACATAAACCCGCTTGCAAGGTTACAGCAAACCAAGTAGCTACTCAACTCCTTATAAATGGAAGAACCACAAACCGTTATAAGGACCCAAACCGAAGAAGAAGATGGGATTTGGAGACAAACCACCTAGGAACTCCTTTTACACTAAATGAACTCCACGACGGTATGAACAGGTTAAAAACGGGAAAACTGCAAATGTGGGAGGTCGCTCCAGTAAAATCAAATATGGCAAAATGAGAAAACATAGACCAAGATGATGTGGAACAGAGAAAGATGGAACCGACGTAGCCCGATACTGGGCCGAAATTTTATAAATGATATGTTTGAGCACGATAAAGTAAAGTAAAAACGCCTCTAAAATTACTCTGTTCAGTGTCTGTCTGTTCAGTCAAGCACAGTTTTTGAAATTTGCGTTAATAGTTGGGACCACTTTCGCAATAAGTTCTTCTTTTAACGTAATGAATTGACAAACATTTGATTGACACGAAATGAGGTCGGTAGAACAGTCGAAGGAATTTTCCCATTGTCAATCTAATAATGTCATTGAGAAAATTTATAACGATATATCTTTTTGTAACGCCTTTTGTAAAGTAATCATTATATGTTTATATATAGATATATATTGTTATGATTCACAAATACGCATAAAATTTTTAAATCCGGAAAAGAAAATTTTGACAAACATTGTATTTCTGGTATTACTAGATGTAAGCAAGTGATCAGTGCATATTAAAAGATTCTTTCAATATTAATTGAATTAATTAATGTTTTGTTTTTATCAATTTATTGAACTTGATTATAATTAATATTGTTTTTGCTTCTTTAAATTAGCTCAAAGTATAATATTATATAATATATATACTACAAAAACTATTCTTTTGTGTTACAAACTTAGCATTTTCCGCAGAAAACTCCAATCTGTAGTCCGCGTATTCTTTATACGATGAAAACCAATTAACAATATGCAAATGGCGCCCGTTTTAATTCAAATGAAAATGACTTCGTTTTGGGAATACAGACATTGCGGAACGGTTATACAGCCACGAGAAAAAAACGTCGAATCGGACTAATCTCGTTTTTTAATTTAAAGTAATGAAATTAGATATGCACCCGTTGTCATCGCGTAGAATATTTCTGCAAATTATGGAAGATTTTATGTTTATTTTTTAATAAAAAGCTAAATGTGGGTTACACGAGAGAATGACACTTATTATGCATTTTTTTTAAATTGCTATAGCATTCAGGAACGTTGAATATTTTTCCTCTTTCGAATTATACCGAAGAAACTACAGTGCGTACCAAAATTAAGGCGTAATTTTAAAGTTAACATTTTAACCCATAAATCTTTACTTACATGTCACACGTAAGTACATGGGTAGACAGACCGAGCGGTGTACGCCGCCTAGCGGTTTTCAAACCGATTCGGTGGATGGTTGGACAGCTCTCTAGCTGGATTTTCAAAACAGCCTGACTAGTAGTAGTCACATTTGCCAAAGTAGATGTTGATTGTTGATTAATTGATTGGGGAGGTAGAGAAGCGTCCTGCTTTGTGAAATATGTGAACATGTATATGTATATTAGAATACAGTAATATAATTATCAAAAAACAATGCTGCAAGGAAATTTACATGTTTGCTTCTAAAGTAGTAGAAGACAGCATTAAAATTGAAAAATTGCTCCTCATGACTCTTCAACTCAAAGAATAAATTACTGAAGTGCCGTTATTGTTTTTTCCTTGAATAATTGGGTGTATCCACATCCTTCTTCTTTTCCAGCGGTAGTACAGAAGAGCCAACATCAATACCTACTTCTTCTTCTTCTCCTTCATCACTCATTTCAATAAATCACAATAATTTTAAAACTGAAATCTTTCTGAAATAACTGAACACTCTTGTCTTGATTAAACAAACTAGTTAAACTAAGTTGAAAATAGCTTTGGTTAAATCGTTACGTGTGTCACTGCTCTAGAAAACCGTTTCGGTTAAACATCTGCGTGTGTCATTGGCCTAAAAGATATATACAGGTAGAAGGAGTTCTATA